GGATTAACAGTCCAGCGATAATATCACCAGGCCGTCGCCTCCCCGTGTGTTCAGGCCAGCTAAGTTTCTCCAGTATTATCCGTCCTTGTGTACAAAACTCGAGGCTGACGCTTGAGTGCAGTAGCAAGGGCTGCTACACTACTGAACAACTAGCTTTGACATTACACAGGCCCAGTCTGCTGTCTGAGACAGAGACATGTAAATATTGGCAGTATCATTGCCAATGTCTACCCTTCACTCAACATCTCAAAGACAGATATTATTATGTTGCTGTCGGTGAAAGCTTGTTTTGTGCAAACTTGCCATTTGTATTTCATTACACTGGTGACTACTTTTAAAGTTGAAAATTGCAAAGCAATTTGGAACATCCTGGAAGAGTGCTATACAAATGCAAGTCTTTTCTCTTTCACTCAGAAAATGGCTTGAATCTAATTAAAGCAAAATAAAGATTTCTGACAAAACTACCCTTGAGAGCAACTTTCTAACAGCAAAGCCCAGTCCTATTTGATTTTGTTTGCACACTTCTATTTAGGAACTCATTTTGCTCTTGGAAATGCTGTCTGAACTGACAACTGCTATTTCTGTGTATTCTCTGCACCAACATTATAAAACTGCCCTTTATGAAGGGATTTATAAATGTGTCACTGCATACTATACAGAAAGAGAGAGAGACTTTCTCTGTGCTGTTAGAAACTCCCCAGTTAATGATACCGTTGCACAAATAAGCGGCTCTGAATAAGGCAAGGAAAATTAAATATTGACACGGGATAATTTGATGTTTTAAGGGGCAGGAGAGTCAAACTTGTTCTGTTGAGACACATTGCTCATGAGGCTTTGAACTAATGATTTAAATCATACATTACATCACAAGCCATTTAGTTAAAGGGCATGTGATAGATGTGTCCAATGTCTTGGAATGAGAGCAGCTTTTAACTTGCTCAGTACCTGTGCCAGTGCTGCCTGCATCCTGCAAATTCACAAATAGAATGTCATGTCCGTTCCCAGCTTTATTAAATGCAAGAGTTTCCATTGGCAAGCTGTCCACTGGGGAGCAGCTGCAGTGGTTGTAACACATAACCCTGCATAAAACTAGCTTGATTCCACATTCCAATCAGTGAAAGATTTCCGTTGATTTGAGATTCAGCTGGCTGGTGAGCAGCTCCTCCAGAGAAAACAGCAATTACTGGATAATCTCAGCAGGTCTGACAGCGTTTGTGGAGAGAAAGCAGAGTTACCGTTTCAAGTTGAGTTCTCAAGAAGAAGGTGTCTGCAGCTCTTCATCAAACAAAGAACAGTTGATGCTGGAGATGTGAAACAGAAATTGCTGGAAAAACTCAGCAGGTTTGGAAGCATCTGTGGAGAGAGTTAACATTTCAAGTCCAGTTCTTCAGAACTCAACTCGAAATGGTAACTGTCTCTCTGAGTTTCTCCGGCTATTTCTGTTTCATGACTCCAGCATCCAGTATTCTTTGTTTTATGAATAGCTAAGGCTTGAGGGCCTAGATTCGACGCTGAGATTCACGTTACGTACACATCCTTGTTTTCAACTCACTCCATGGCCTCCCTTCTCCCCCCCTCCCTCTCTCCAACTCTGCACTCCTCCAATTCTGGCCTTTTGTGCATCCCTGCTGTCCTTTGTTACACCATTAGCAGCAATACCTAGCAATGCCTAAATTTTGGAACACACCCTCTCAACCTCATGACCTTGCTTTGTTCCTTCAAATAAGTACTTAGAACAAAACTTGCTGACCAAGCTATAGGTCACCCATCTGAATATGTGGTACAGTATCAAATTTTGTCTGATAATGTTGCAGCTAAGTCTTTAAAACGTTTTTTCATGGGCATCATTGGCATTGTCGGATTTATTACCCATCCCTAATTGCCCTGGAAAAGATGGTGGTGTGCTGACCCCTTCAAGCATTGCAAGTCCTGGGGTGTAAAAACACACACAGTGCTGTTAGAAAGGGAGTTCCTGGATTTTTACCCAGTAACAATGAAGGAGCAGTGATGTATTTCCAAGTCCAGGTCATGTGGAGCAAAACATGAAGGGTAGTGTGTATGTGTTGTCCCTGTCCTTCCAGGTGATAGAGGTCACTGTTTGGAATGAGTCTTTAGTGAATTGCTACACTGCATCTTGTAGATGGTCCAAACTGTTGCCTCTGTGCATCATTGGTAGAAGGAGTGAATGTTTCACTCTATTAAAGGGGCTATATAAATGCACGTGATTGTTGTTGTGCAGAGAAAAGCTGTTGTACTGTTGGAGAAGCTAATGAATGCTTTGTCCTGTAAACTACAGTTACTCAGTGCTGGATTGCCTTAGCATCCTCCAAATCCAGAAAGTGGCTATTTCTGGTATCTCCTGTTATATGTGTACCTTGCCTAGAGCTCATGTTTAAGCATTCTACGTCCTGTGTGTATATAATGTTGTGACTCTGTATATGGCTGATCATCTGCTTCGGGTCTGCAAATTACACACTCAAATCAGTCAGTTTGCTGTAATGTCTGCTTTGTGACTTGTAATGTGTTTTACTATTTGAAATAAACTAACTCACAGTGTTAATCAGTCCCCGATGAACGATTGATTAATAGATCAATATCATTAATATGAACTGGGAACAGCATTGGGAAACATCACACTGATGAGGCCGATCATACTTGAACTGTCAGCAAACAATTTAACCTACAATTGAAATATATGGTGGGCAGTCTTAAATTGTGCTAAAATGCATGAGACACCCATGGTGTCTTTGTTCATTGCATCATCAGAGTGTTGTAAACACAACTAGCTGGTAAGCAAATCTGTATTGAGAAAGGCATGTGATCAGGGTGTGCTGTATTATTAGCAAGCAAGGGAAGATCAAAGGCATTGTGTCAGGATGTCCACAACATTTCCTAGTTTAATTGGGACACAGCAGACCTCCTAACAAAATTCAGTGACATTACCACAGTTTAAATTGGGACACAGCAGACCTCCTAACAAAATTCAGTGACATTACCACAATGCCGTGACCTCCCTTAACTATTTATTTGTTATCGGCTAAAACTGACACAGGAGCAAGTTCCAAAATACTACCCCTGCAAATTCTTTAAAAAATTCATGTACCCACAGACATGGGAAGCCGTGATGAAACATACAAATGTTAAACTTCCAACATACAGCTGTTCACCAATTTCATGCAGGATCAATAATGCTGGAGTGCTATTCCAATCAATCCACCCAGACGTTACAGATATTATACAACACATACTCTGCTGAACCAGCATGAATTGACCTTGAACCCATCAGGACCCATGGAATCAGTCAAACATCAGAGACATAACAGAAATTACAGCAGACTATTCAAGAAATACTTGCAGAACTGAATGTGAACAAACAATAGTACACCACTCCTTATTCAGCCCCTGCTCTGGGGAAACAAATGAAAGTTCAGAGGAAAAGGACGAAAGACTAACCCAGAATAAATCCAAATGTTAAGAATACCATCTCTGAGAGGATGAAGTCTGTAGTGGATACATCCGCTCTGCTTACTAAAATGAATGAAGAGCTTGAAGAAAGAGAAAGGAAGCAGGATGAACCACAAGCTCTTTGTCATCAATTGAATTGAAAGATGGCAGATGTACAGGAAGATCTGGAGCAATGCACACATAAAACCCATCAGGCTCACCAGAAGCAGCTACAGAAACATTGGCTTGAACTCAAAGCAATTCTAGAGAAAATGACAGACCTGCAAAAAGCGGGAGCTGAAAATCACTCATCAGATAGTCTCTTCATAAATAAATGTCAATAATTATGCCCAAGTAAAAGAACTTAAGCAAGTAAGTAAAGAAGAGCAAACAATTACTGGTAAAGTGGTAAAGGGCTAGTTTTCAAAGAAAACTTAAAGATTGGTCAGTTACAGCACATTATGAAGGAGACAACATGTTGTAAAACAGAGAGACTTAGGGATTCAGGTGCGTAATTCTTTGAAGTTTGCATCACATGTAGACAGGGTGGTTAAGAAGGAGTATAGCACACTTGCCTTATTGATCAGACCTCTGAGTATAGGAGTTGGGATGTAATGTTGAGGTTGTACAGGACGTTGGTGCAGAGAGAGATCAACTTTTATATATGAGTCTGATAACAACAGGGAGGAAGCTGTTCTTGAATCTGTTTGGACGTGTTTTCAAACTTTTGTATCATCTGCCCGATGGAAGAGAGTGTAAGAGAGTATAACCGGAGTGGAAGGAGTCTTTGATTGTGTTGGTTGCTCTCCCAAGGCAATGGGAAATGTAGATGGCATCAGTGGATGGAAAGCTGGTTTGATTGATGGGAGTGGGCTGTGTTCACAACGCTCTGTAATTTTTTGTGGTCTTGGGCAGAGCAGTTGCCACACCAAGCCGTGATGCATCGGGTTAGGTTTGCGTAAACAGATTTAGTCATAGCTTTAAAAAGGGAATCATATTCAAAAGGAACACTTTGCAGGGCCACAGGGAGAAAGCAGAGAGAGGGACGAATTGAATTGATCCTTCAAAGAACTAGTACAGGCCACGTGGCCAAACAACCTCCTTTGCTGAATAAATCTGCGCAATTTCTGACACTGTGGTAGCAGCTGTCTAGATTATTTTCTCTAATTTGTCCCTTCATTTTGTCAAAGGCTGTAATGAAGAACACATTTCTCTACTTGTGCTACCAGTCTCCCTTCTGTTTCCATGTGATTACTTGGCAACAAGAGTAAAATCAGTAAAATGAGAAGAGTTTAGTGAGATGTGGATTAAGAGACATACAAATTCCATCTTATTCACAATCTCTCCAAACTCTTGTCAGGCAATTGCTAGATTTACCCTCCTCGATTGTACCCAAGTGGTGCCAAACATAACTACTGGTTGAAGCCTGATTTGTTAAAATTCTCCCCTCCTTGTGTTCTGCAATGTGTTTCCAGCTTGGTGAGGACACATCTCAAACAGGAGCAATTAAGTGTGACCAGAGGATATTTGACTTGTGTCTAATTGCTTCCTTCTAGTTATGGGGAGATTGAAAGTATCCGGGTACTACACGAACGGTTCTGTGCATTTGTCAACTTTAAGTGCCACTTGGCAGCTGCTAAAGCATTGGAGGCCTTGCAGGTGAGTTGGCAAAGGTGTTGTTGTTTGAATACTTCTCTGTAACTGGCCTGTTTGCAGATCAAAGTCTCCTGATTCATCAATAAGTTGAAGGAAGTGGAGGGAGGTGTTACTCGTAAACAGGTCAAGGTAGTTATTGCTCAGTTCAGCTCCGAAAAGATATTTTTATACATTTTGATAGGAAATTGTAATGTTTAGCTGGGAGAAAGCCCAATTGACTTGGTCTGGGAATCAGAGTGGATATTGACAGCACTATATCAGTCAGGGAGTATAAGGCAGGGCAGGGTTTACAAATATGACTTGTGACTAAAACTATAACAATGTCCCCCACCAACAGGCAAATTCTTTCTCTGGTTAAAGGCAGTCAGTGGAGGATAGTTTGCACATAAATCAACCCCGGTTTCTGACAACACTGTAGTTTCCAGGTGTGATTTAACCAGGGATCATCTCGTCATTTCCATTCTAAGGTTTACAATTTCACTGCATGCAGATCGACATTTTCAACCTTCACAAGATTTGCAGCTACTAGGGTGGGACAGCAAAACAGCAGCAAATCTGAGGTGACTTCTGCTACCCTTCCTGGTACTTTCTGACCAAACAGTAAGAACCAGGAGCAGGAGTAAGCCATTCAGCCCCTCGAACCCTGCCCCACCATTTAATATGATCATGCCTGAGCTCATCGCGGTGAGCTCATCAATTCCACTTCCCTGCCCACCTTCCAGAACCCTTCAGCCCTTTACTAATTAAAAATCTGTCCATCTCCTGCTTAAATTTACTCAAAGTCCCATTGTCCACTGCACTCTGAGGGAGTCAATTCCACAGATTGACTCCCCTTTGAGAGAAGTAACTTCACCTCATCTCGGTTTTAAATCTGCCACCCCTTCTCCTAAAGCTGCGATCTCTCGTTCTAGATTGTCCCCGTAGGAGGAAATATCCTCTCTTTGTCGACTTTGTCAATCCCCTTTATCATCTTATGTACCTCGATTCAATCTCCTCCCATTCTCCGAAACTTTAAACCCCAGAGAGTATGGGCCTAACCTGCTCAATATCTGTATAGGATAGTACCTCATGAATGCATTCGGGAGAAACATTTGTACTTGGGAAGTGATGAGAACAGGCAACTTGCTACTGCAGGGATTAATTGAGGTAAGTAACAAAAGGTACACTTAACAGGGAAGTTAGAAAGATGCTATTGAGGTGCCATGACGTAAAGTTGGCGAGGCTTATGTAAAGCATAAACATTGGCATTGCCCTATTTAGGCTGGATATAATTCCCATCGAAAGTATTGTTGTTGCTCAATGGAACCTGGAGTACCTGTAAATTGCACACCATTGTACACATGACATCTTGAAAGGGGCGGCGCAGCGTCTTCTGATTTGTTGGGTGCGACCACAAGGAAGGTTGACAGAATAATTTCTGGTTCTGTGTCGGGAGTCTGGGGTCGGGCTTTATTGCCAATCCTGACGAGACTGAAGGGCTGAAGCCCAAACCTTCCTGGTCTTTGCTTCTGAGTTCTCGGTTCTGAGGAAGGGTCACTGGACCCGAAACATTAACTCTGTTTTTTCCTTCACAGATGCTGCCAGACCTGCTGAGCTTTTCCAGCAACTTTGTTTTTGTTCCTGATTTACAGCATCCGCAGTTCTTTTGGCTTTTACCTGGTCTTTTGCGTCTTTCTGATGGTATTGGGCAGTGTCCAGTCATGTTTTGTTTGCATGTGCAAGTGATTCTGTCTTTAATTTCCAGGGCAAGGAGATTGAGAACACAAAGCTGCTAATTAGATACCCTGACAGATATCTGAATAAACGAAGCTCCCCATTGCCGAAACCGTCTGTCCCAGTGCGAGCGTCACCTCAACCCCTAAGTGGGACCACAGCAGGCGGGTAAGTCAGAGAGTCATAGAGCTATACAGCATAGAAACAGACCCTTTGGTCCAACTCATCCATAAACTAATCTAGTCCCATTTGCCAGCATTTGGCCCAAATCTGTCTAAACCCTTCCTATTCATATACCCTTCCAGATGCCTTTTAAATGTTGTAATTGTACCAGCTCCCACCACTTCCTCTGGCAGCTCATTCAATACACACACCACCCTCTGCGTGAAAAAGTTACCCCTCAGGTCCCTTTTAAATATTTCCCTTCTCGCCTTAAACCAATGCCCTCTAGTTTTGGACTCCCCTGCCCTGGGGAAGAGACCTTGGCTATTCACCCTATCCATGCCCCTCATGATTTTATAAACCTCTATAAGATCACCCCTCAGCCTCTAATTCTCCAGGGGAAAATGGCCCCAGCCCATTCAGCCTCCCCCCATAGCTCAAACCCTCCAACCCTGGCAGCATCCTTACAAATCTTTTCTGAACTCTTTCAAGTTTAACAGCATCTTTCCTGTAGCAGGGAGACCAGAATTGAACACAGCATTCCAGGAGTTGTGGCGCAGATCCTTGAAAATATGGGCTTACCCACAGTGCCCCTCCCACCTTCTGCGCCTCCTTGAGCCCTATGACCCTTTGACATCCAAACACTCCTTTATTTCTGGCCCTTTTGTGCATTCTCCATTTCTTTGGCTCCACATTGTCTGTGCTTTCAGCAGCTTGGACGTCCAAAATATTATAGAATCCCTACAGAGTGGAAACTAGCCCTTCGGCTCAACAAGTCCACAGCGACCCTCAGAGCTTCCCACCCAGACCCATCCCTCTATAACCCTAGCCTACACATCCCTGAACACTACAGGCAATTTAGCACAGCCAATCCACCTAACCTGCACATCTTTGGACTGTGGGAGGAAACCCACACAGACACAGGGAGAATGTGTAAACTCCACACAGACAGTCACCTGAGGGTGGAATTGAGCCCGTGTCCCTGGTGCTGTGAGGCAACAGTGCTAACCACTGAGCCACTGTGAAGTTTAAACGAGGAGCCTTCACTGTGAAGTACAGGCACCCGTGGGATTTGAACCCAGGATCTCTAGTTTACTAGCCAGGCACTTTAACCAACTAAGCTGTAATTCTCTTGATTCCCTTTAAGGCAATCCTTAACCCTAACCTCTTGACCAAGCTTCTGGTCGCCTTGTTTGAGTATATGGCCCCGGTTTCACATTTTGTTTCATATTCACTCCGCTGATACACCTTGGGATGGTTTGTTACATTAAAGGCACTAAATACCGAAAAGTTGTGTTTACATTGTCCATGTTTGCCGAGATTATAAATGGAGATCATTCACCTAATTGGGAAGGTTGGTGGGGCTGTGGGGAGTGGGGCTGTGGGGAGTGGGGGGGGGGGGCGGTTGGTGGCGGCGGTGTGTGGTGTGGCGGGGTGGTGGGAGTGTGGGGGAGTGAATGGGTGGTGGGAGTATTCTGGGTATCTGTTACAATCTTCTGAAAGAAACTCTGGTCTCTTGGTTCGAACAATTGCACCGAACCTTGAACAGGGAGAGTATAGTTGGAGACATCGGAGCTGGCGTTGGTTTGATTTGTGAGCAGATACGCTGCAACCGAGCACCTGGGCATCCTGTGTTTTCCAAAAAGATGCCTCAATAACAGACGTTTACATCAAGAGGCCATTGGAAATGGGCAACCGTTCGATGGATTGACCTGCCCAACTATTAGCTTGCCTCTCTAATCATGGAATAACATTGCATGAATAGACTCCAATTGTCTGTTGCACCTGTTCATCTCTCTTTGAAGGCGCTACTCCATTGATGTTTTCATTATTTCACAAAACTCTGATTTATTTGGGAGTCACTGATGGCCTGGTTACTGAAGGCAATGACTTTCAGAGCCATATAGAGGGCCAGATTTGAATTGAGCTTGCCTCAGTACAGGAGGGTGGTGATGACAGCTGCTCTGCGCATTGGGACTTTGGTTAAATTATGAAGCTCTGCGTTGTAGTAGTTTGCAGAAGGCTGAGTTGGTGACTGGTGCTTGATCTCCTTATCAATGGTGGCCTTTTGAGAGAGGGAGCTACTGAGCTCTGGGAAGCGCTCAACATACTCCAAAGACTCTCCTTCAATATTTGCAAGAGGCAGAGTATTTCACTGACCAGGCTCGGTCAAAGGCTTGTATCAGCAACATTCAAGGACAGGCCAAGTTTCTTTGTCGCAGAATTAAAGTGGATGAGAGCGGATTGCAAATCATGTGCAGAGTGGGCAATGACACCGCAGTCATCTGCAAACTATAGATCATGGATGGCTTTGGTGGTCAGCTTAGTTTTGGCCTGAGATAGCTGAGGTTAAAGCATTTTCCACCTAGACAGTATTTAATATTTACATCACAAGGTAAACAAACTTCA